AAGCAATGGCGGGCCCGGATTCCAACAAATGGCTTGAAGCCATGAAATCCGAGATAGAATCCATGTATGAAAACAAAGTATGGACTTTGACAGACTTGCCCGATGATCGGCGAGCGATAGAAAACAAATGGATCTTTAAGAAGAAGACGGACGCGGATGGTAATGTTACCATTTATAAAGCTCGACTTGTCGCTAAGGGTTATCGACAGGTTCAAGGGATTGACTACGACGAGACATTCTCTCCTGTAGCGAAGCTAAAGTCCGTCCGAATCATGTTAGCAATTGCCGCATACTATGATTATGAGATATGGCAGATGGACGTCAAAACAGCATTCCTTAACGGGCATCTTAAGGAAGAACTGTATATGATGCAGCCAGAAGGTTTTGTCGATCCTCGGAACGCTAACAAAGTATGCAAGCTCCAGCGATCCATTTATGGACTGGTGCAAGCATCTCGGAGTTGGAACATTCGCTTTGATGAGATGATCAAAGCGTTTGGGTTTATGCAGACTTATGGAGAAGCCTGCGTTTACAAGAAAGTGAGTGGGAGCTCTGTAGCATTTCTCATATTATATGTAGATGACATACTCCTGATGGGAAATAATATAGATTTTCTGGACAGCATTAAGGCCTACTTGAATAAGTGTTTTTCAATGAAGGACCTTGGAGAAGCTGCTTATATATTAGGCATCAAGATCTATAGAGATAGATCGAGACGCCTCATAGGTCTTTCACAAAGCACATACCTTGATAAGATTTTGAAGAGATTCAGAATGGATCAGTCCAAGAAGGGGTTCTTGCCTATGTTACAAGGTATGAGACTGAGCTCAGCTCAGTCACCGACCACGGCAAAAGATAAAGAGGAGATGAGTGTCATCCCCTATGCTTCAGCCATAGGATCTATTATGTATGCCATGCTGTGTACCCGACCCGATGTAAACCTTGCCGTAAGTTTGATAGCAAGATACCAAAGTAATCCCGGCAAGGAACACTGGACAGCGGTCAAGAATATCCTGAAGTACCTGAAAAGGACAAATGACATGTTTCTTGTTTATGGAGGAGATGAAGAGCTCGTCGTAAAGGGTTACGTCGACGCTAGCTTCGACTCAGATCTGGATGACTCTAAGTCACAAACCGGATACGTGTATATGTTGAATGGTGGAGCAGTAAGCTGGTGCAGCTGCAAGCAGAGCGTCGTGGTGGGATCTACGTGTGAAGCGGAGTACATGGCAGCCTCGGAGGCAGCACATGAAGCGATTTGGGTGAAGGAGTTCATCACCGACCTAGGAGTCATACCCAATGCGTCGGGGCCGATCAAACTCTTCTGTGACAACACTGGAGCTATTGCCCTCGCAAAGGAGCCCAGGTTTCACAAGAAGACCAGGCACATCAAGCGTCGTTTCAACTCCATCCGTGAAAATGTTCAAGATGGAGACATAGAGATTTGCAAAGTGCACACGGATCTGAATGTCGCAGATCCGCTGACTAAACCTCTCTCACGTGCAAAACATGATCAACACCAGAACTCTATGGGTGTTAGATTCATCACAATGTAACTAGATTGGTGACTCTAGTGCAAGTGGGAGACTGTTGGAAATATGCCCTAGAGGCAATAATAAAAGTATTATTATATTTCATTGTTCATGATAATTGTCTTTTATTCATGCTATAACTGTATTATCCGGAAATCGTAATACACGTGTGAATACTTAGACTACACTATGTCCCTGGTAAGCCTCTAGTTGACCAGCTCGTTGTGATCAACAGATAGTCATGGTTTCCTGACTATGGACATTGGATGTCGTTGATAACGGGATCACATCATTAGGAGAATGATGTGATGGACAAGACCCAATCCTAAGCATAGCATAAGAGATCGTGCAGTTCGTTTTGCTAGAGCTTTGCAAGTGTCAAGTATCTCTTCCTTCGACCATGAGATCGTGTAACTCCCGGATACCGTAAGAGTGCCTTGGGTGTATCAAACGTCACAACGTAACTGGGTGACTATAAAGGTGCATTACAGGTATCTCCGAAAGTAGCTGTTGGGTTGACACGGATCGAGACTGGGATTTGTCACTCCGTATGACGGAGAGGTATCTCTGGGCCCACTCGGTAATGCATCATCATAATGAGCTCAATGTGACCAAGGTGTTGGACACGGGATCATGCATTACGGTACGAGTAAAGTGACTTGCCGGTAACGAGACTGAACAAGGTATTGGGATACCGACGATCGAGTCTCGGGCAAGTAACGTACCGATTGACAAAGGGAATTGCATACAGGGTTTGATCGAATCCTCGACATAGTGGTTCATCCGATGACAACATCGAGGAGCATGTGGGAGCCATCATGGGTATCCAGATCCCGCTGATGGTTATTGACTGAGAGCGTCTCGGTCATGTCTGCATGTCTCCCGAACCCGTAGGGTCTACACACTTAAGGTTCGGTGACGCTAGGGTTATGAAGATATGGATATGCAGAAACCCGAATGTTGTTCGGAGTCCCGGATGAGATCCCGGACGTCACGAGGAGTTCCGGAATGGTCCGGAGGTAAAGAATTATATATAGGAAGTGCTATTTCGGGCATCGGGACAAGTTTCAGGGTTATCGGTATTGTACCGGGACCACCGGAAGGGTCCCGGGGGTCCACCGGGTGGGGCCACCTGTCCCGGGGGGCCACATGGGCTGTAGGGGGTGCGCCTTGGCCATCATGGGCCAAGGGCACCAGCCCCTATAGGCCCATGCGCCTAGGGTTTCCCCTAGGAGGAGTCCTAGTGGTGGAAGGCACCCCTAGGTGCCTTGGGGGGGAGGGAAACCTCCCCTAGGCCGCCGCCCCCCCTAGTAGATCTCATCTACTAGGGCCGGCGCCCCCCCTGGCACCCCTATATATAGTGGGGGAGAGGAGGGACTTCACACACCAGCCCCTGGCGCCTCCACCTCCCCCCGTTACGTCTCTCCCTCGTAGTCTCGGCGAAGCCCTGCTGCTGTGACGCCCTGCATCCACCACCACGCCGTCGTGCTGCTGGATCTTCATCAACCTCTCCTTCCCCCTTGCTGGATCAAGAAGGAGGAGACGTCTCCCGTCCCGTACATGTGTTGAACGCGGAGGTGCCGTCCGTTCGGCGCTGGTCATCGGTGATTTGGATCACGTCGAGTACGACTACATCATCACCTTGCAAGCTTCCGCACGCGATCTACAAGTGGTATGTAGATGCAAACTCTCTCCCTAGACTCGTTGCTTAGATGAACTCATAGATGGATCTTGGTGAAACCGTAGGAAAAATTTTAATTTTCTGCAACGTTCCCCAACATTTCCATCGGTTGGTTCGCCGACGACGAATGTTGAGTTTTGTGTTGATTTCGTCCGCGGATGCTTTTTAGATGGCGTGACGTTAAAATCCCCCTCTCATTCATCCATAGTGTCGTTTGTCTCTATGGTTTAGCACGGGTTTAGAAGGCCCCTTCTTTTTTGCATGAACAAATCGGATACTGTTAAAATCTGAGTGCTTCAGTCAAGTTAGTGTATGTGCGCACAACCCTACATTGTATTTGCCAATCTGTACTTAACTGAATCTGTCGACACATGTTAAAAAATGGTGGTTCTGGGACTCGAACCAAGAATTTGTAGGTGGTACAGTTTTGTCTATAGCCAGTGGGCTACTGTGCAAGTTCTGAATAACTCTGAAAGCTCTCTTCTGCTAAAACAACATATTTTGTTGTTTGCCTGTCAGTTATAAGGAAAGGCCACCTGTGCACAACCAACCGGGGGCTTATTTGTCAAAAACGTGAAATCTGAGGGGGTTTATGAGAAAACTCATGCCAAGCGCACCAGCCCACGGCCTCTGGTCATTGCCAATGGGACCCGCGCCACGCTGTCTTACTTAGCCAGCGCTTGATTCGTACGAAACTGAGAAAAGCACCGTATGCGAACGATTGAGCCAAGTTTTTCCACCACTTTGACGTATCTCACAACTTGTAGCACCAAAGTAAACATTCAGGACAAGTTGTGACACCAACAATGTAATTGACTCCATCTCCAACTACAAACCACAAAGCTTCCATATTCCTTTCTTAAGAAGCAGATCCAAGGAGATTCCGATGGACTTGGCATGTCATCTGCAACTACAAACCACGAAGCTTCCATATCCCTTTCTTAAGGAGCAGATCCAAGGAGATTCCGATGGACTTGGCATGTCATCTCCAACTACAAACCACGAAGCTTCCATATTCCTTTCTTAAGAAGCAGATCCAAGAAGATTCCGATGGACTTGGCATGTCATCTCCAACTACAAACCACGAAGTTTCTATATTCCTTTCTTAAGAAGCAGATTCAAGGAAATTCCGATCGACTTGGTATGTCCACTGGCTAGTGTGTAGTGCCATCCACTGGCCACGGCTCCTCCGTGCCATTTTCTGCCGCTAATTTCCTGCTTCGCCCGCCCCCTCTCAGCGACAGGATTGACTGGTCTGGGAATCCGAAGCTGCAACACTACTCCAGCCCGGCCGGTACGTAAGTATGCATACACAGTCGCTTCTCAATTGCATTCGGTCGCAAGCATTAGTTACGAAGACCATTTGTGAGGAGTATGTTTTTTGCTGTGCGTGTACAATTCGCATGTATAGCATGTATGCTACTGCGAAATGTATAATTGCGCAATTTTAGTTTTAGTTAATAGTGACTTACGGAAACTTCATGCAACTAATTGAACATGACAGTATGTACTACTATTATCCATGCATTTTGTGGATCCATTGTCTGAAATAAAACCGCAAAAAATCGTCCATTATATTCCAGGCAGTGCAGAGTGCAGACTAGACTGCCAAAAGGAGGGGATCAATTAGTATGGCTGCGGGGCCGCTGGAGCTCTGGAACCACCGGTCGATGCAGATCCTGGTCCTCCTCAGCCTCGGGCTCCAGCTCGTCCTCCTCGTCTTCGCCGGCATCCGCCGGCGCGAAGCCTTAGCCGTGTGGAGTCTCCTCCTGTGGCTAGCGTACCTCATGGCCGACTCGACGGCCGTGTACGCTGTCGGCCACATGTCGTTCAGCAGCGCCGTGCACGAGCACCAGCTCGCCGCTTTCTGGGCGCCTTTCCTCCTGCTGCACCTCGGCGGCCCGGACAACATTACCGCCTACTCGTTCCAGGACAACCAGCTCTGGCTCCGCCACTTCACCATCCTCGTCGTGCAGGTCCTTGGCGCGGGCTACATCCTCTACAAGCACATCGCTCTCGCTGGCGGCAAGGATGGGAAGTTGCTCCGGCGCGCCTCCTTCTTGATGTTCGTCCTCGGCGTCGTCAAGTACGGGGAGAGGACGTGGGCGCTCAAGTGCAGCACCCTGGAGAGCATCGGCACCTCCGTCGACACGAAGCCGCCCGCCATCCACAACCATTTTCACCCTCAGGACGAAGTCACGGACGAGGAGTGCCACCTGCGACGAGCCCACTCGCTGTTCCACATCTGCAAGCGTGCCATCGTCGACTCCTCAGTGGTGGAGGAGGATTCCGGCCTGGATGAGCACACCAGCAAGCATAGCCGTAGAGCGATAGACGGCGTGGAGCTGTGGACGCTGATGGAGATCGAGCTCTCCCTCATGTACGACGTCTTGTACACCAAGGCGGCCGTGGTGCACACCTTCTTGGGCTACCTGATCCGCTTCATCTCGCCGCTCACCGCCGCCGCCTCGCTGGTGCTGTTCCAGCTCACCCCCAAGGACGGCCACGACAGAGCCGACGTGGCCATCACCTACGTTCTGCTGGGTGGCGCCGTGTTCATGGAGACGACGTCGCTCCTGAATGCGCTGGCATCATCTTGGACGTTCGCGTTCCTGAGCACCACCAGGTGGCAATGGCTTAGGTACACGGCCCTGTGCAACAAGAGATGGGACAAGCTCCGCCGCGCCGACGTGTGGCTTCACGATCTTGTCAAGGGAAGAGTTGCCGGTAACAGCAGGTACAAGTCAAGAAGGTGGTCATACACCATCGGGCAGTACAACTTGCTGCACTTCTGCACGCGCCCCGCCGACACGCCGCTCACCAGCCCCCTGCTCGGGAGGCTGGCCAGGGCGCTAGCACCAGACGAGTGGTGGAACAGGAACCACTACTCGGCGACCGTCGAGATGTCAGGTGAGATCAAGATTTGTGTCGCAAAGTACATGGGAGGGTTGTTGGGCAGGGGGAAGTTCAACACAGGCATGGTGAGGAAGAAATGGGGCGAGGACCCACTGCAGAGCCGTGGGCTTTACCACAAAGGCATCCTCAAGGACTCCCTCAGCTTGGAGTTCCACGAGGGCATCATCATCTGGCACATCGCCACCGAGGTCTTTCTCACCAAGAGCGAAAGAGCCAAGTGCGTGGACGCCGCACCTAGCGTGCATGGCGTTAGGGTGCTATCCGACTACATGATGTTCCTCCTGGTGGAGCGTCCCTACATGCTGCCAGGCCAACCCCAAAAAAGCTTGTACCAACGAACTTGCGAGAGGCTGGTCACCATGCGATCTGCTGATCCAAGGTACCCGACTCGTGCGAGCATCAAGGATTTGTTCCGTGTGCGCGATGGACCAAACTCCAACAGTTCGAGGGTCGCCGAGAGAGAGGAGCTCGCGAACAACTTGTATGATGAGTACCAGAACCGGGAGTATGACGAACTTGCTCCTCGCCTCATTTACATGGCTCGACTCGCCAAGGAGCTACTGGAGAAGGAGAGGGATGGCACGACCGACTCCTTGGAGCTTGTCCTTGAAGTGTGGATGGACTTTCTCATTTACGCGAGCCACAAGTGCAGCAGGGAGTCCCATGCCCAGAAGCTCAACAGTGGTGGTGAGCTGACAACCATAGTGTGGCTTATGGCAGAACACATGTACCAAGCGTTCGTCGCAGAAAAATATGATATGGTATAATTTTTTGACAAAAATAGTACTAGTACCCTACTTCATGTATTTTATATTGTTGTCTGTAAATTACATATGTAAAACAAAGAGTAAAGAGAAATGTGTGAGCGTGACAGGGTAGTGGAACCGATCCAAAACAGCCGAGTTAGTTCTTTACAAGCGTTTCTGCAAACACCTAGTGTGCATGTAGTAAATCCAGGCTATATGATGAAATCCACAAGCACCAAGCTAAACAAAGTCCATCACAACAATATACATGCAAGGACAACTTACTACAACATCTAACCCGCAAAAAATAATTACTACAACAACATCAATAACCGAGTTGAAAACTTGATACTGAAGTGCCCCTTGCGCCAGGAGCTCTCACGACCGCGAGCCCGCACCTACGGACGGTAACCGCTCCAGCGCCGCCAGCTGCCGAGACCGCGCGCCGTCTGCACCTCCCTGCTGCCCCCATCGTGCTGCTTTGGGGATTTCCGGCTGCGTCATCTGCCACCCCAGCGGGCTCGTCAGCGCTGGATCGGGATCGGGATCTCGCATTCCCGCCCCCGCCACCTCCTAGGCGCCCGATCCACGCGCGGGACGAGGTGGATTTCTTCCCCGAGACCCCTCCTAAGCTGCTCCGCACCGCTCCCTCTCCGTCTAGCAACGCGCCTTCCTTCAATGCTGACAATAACTCCGACGTCAGGGCAGGAGGGTGGTTACCTGCTTTCAGGGCGAGGTCGGTGAGCTACATTCATCGCGCATGCTTGCCCCGCGCATGGCGGCTGCGGGGCTCGAGGCCACGGATGCAGACGGATGGGTGACCGTCGAGTCATATCGGCCGCACCAGCCGGCTTTTCGATCGACGCCCATCAAGCCGTGTTCCTCCTCCCCGACTGGATAAAAAGGTTGTGCTTTCACTGTCTCCATCCTCGCCATCGCGAGGCGTCCTGCAAAAATCCTATCACCTGCCGCAAGTGCTACTGTT